CACACACACACACACACACACTTGTTTTTATACTTCAACCAGCTCCATTTCAAAGTTGTAGCAGGTCCTTGAAAATAAGTAAAATCCGTCCGAGCGACTCGATGACGTTACCTGGTGTTTGGTGTTGATGCCGTAGAGGCCGTTGAGGTTTGCCTCGTGGCAGTTCTTGTACCACCAGCCTCCTCGATAAGACATGGCGCAGCGGGTGATGAAGGGCGCCAGGTCCCGGTCTTTGGTGGAAAAGATCCGGTTGTTGTGGTAACTGAGAGAGTCACCTGAAAGGATAGCACGGTAGGAAGTTTCCTTATTAACAAATATAATTTTATTTACTTAAATGATTCATTATCTCCGGATCCTTGAGCTTTATTTAGATGACTTAATTCAACTGTTTGTGAATTTTAGTCTTTGTGGAAATAAAACCTCAAACTCGTTTCCCACAACAAGAGAAAATAAGAAACTGTAACCAGGAAGTGCGATCACAAAGGTTTGTGTTGGGCACAAGTGCAGTTGGCATGGACGTGTGTGAGAAGCAGCAGCCAGCTATGAGTCAGGCTGACCTCTGATGATACACGACCGTCCAGCAGGTTTCAGTCTGAAGTGTCCCAGACCAAGGAGGCCAGGAGTGCAGGCAGGGGCATGCTTTTAGGGGCCTTGCCCCCCAGTCTGGACATTACAGTAGGACAGAGGTGACCTTGGTGTGATGGCTTTTTCTGACTGAATGAGACTCAGACACATCAGGATGTTCAGAGCAAACATCTGAACCTGAATCGAGCTCGGCGGTGCTGAAAACCTTTGATCACCTGTTCCAGGTTCCCGTGTTACCTGCGGTGCCGCTGTATCCTCCCACAGTCAGTTTGTAGTTCCTCTTGGCCACCTCGAACGTCGAGTACTGAGCGAACACTGACTCGTCGCCGTCTCGCAGGTCGACCCGCAGGCTCATCCTGCTCATCGCTGTGAGGTTGTGGATACTCGCGAGTCCTGAAGGGGCGAGTTTATCGGGTTTTATTACAGGAAACAAAATAAACAACAGACATACTGAACAGAAAAATGAGAAAAGGCTGGGATGAGAATGTCTGTCTTTCCAGTTAAACTGGCGCTGTGCTCAAATCTGCTGCTTTAACTGCACTCTGTGGAAGCTGCATCTGCCATCCGTGTTTCCAAATATGTTTCCTCACCACACGGAGCCTGGTCCTGTGCAGATTTGTACTCAGATATTAAAAAGCATCTCTCACCGAGCCAAAACTCTCCATTCACGTCCCCGAATCCTTCCACGTACTCGTTCCAGCGTCTGAAGAAATTCTCGGAGCCGTCCTTCCTCCGCTGGAAGACCTGCACACAGGAAGCCAAACACCCGAGACCTGCTCAGTGCAGGCGGCGCTGACACGAGGCTGCCTTTGAAAGCGAGCCGGTCTCCATCGAGTCCCGTAAAAAGTTTCCTTCTTTCAAGTTTTACTGTTATTTATTTTTCCCTTCCGTCTTTAAAGATCTTTTTAACGGGCTTCATAAATACTGCTGGACTATATTGGAAGTGTTTTATTAGTAATTAAATTAGGCAAACACACGTAAAGTAAAGACGACTCTGTGGTGTGGGTTTATACCGTCCAGCCGCCACCGTCTGTCTCCATGTCGCAGGAAACTGTCACTGGCGTCCCGTGTCTGCCTTGAGGGAAAATCTCTGCCTCGCCTGAAGTCACGATGCCGTTCAGCAGCTCCTGAGAGCAGTCAGTGGGGAACGGGTACCGCAGGGTTCCTGAGGAGGAGCAAGACGGAGGGTGAGGGTGGGAGGAAATCTCGAACAACAACAGCACTGACGAAGGCTCGAAGAAGTACCGGTGGTGAATTCTGTGGAGATGGCGGACGTGTACTGTCCTCCTCCTTCGGCCTGGAGCTGCAGCGTATACGTGGATCCAGGATGGAGTCCAGTCAGGTTGTACTGCATTAACGAGCCGTCCACAATGACCTCCTGCCGCCGGTACAAACGGAAATCAGGCCTCACGAATGTCTGAGATACGCACGCTATTATAAACATCAGGTCAAAATAAACAGGAACGTCTCAGCCACGTTTTCCTTTGACGGTTGGTGAGAAACAACCATCAAATTCAACATCTGCTGATATTCACGAATAAATAAATAATAAAATGAGTCTGAGGTTCTCTTTAAGGTGGTCGCCATGTACACATCTGGACCTCTTTAAGTTTAAACTCTACAAGGAAGCTCAGTGTTCACACATCTGGGAGTTTTCCCAGGTGTTCACCACCACCAGCGTCTAGACTCCAGGGTCCTGCTAATCCCTATCACTGCTGCGATTCTGGAGTCTGCAATAACAATAACTCGAGTTTTCCTTCTAATGATTGATCTTTATATGACTGAAGATTCAGCAGTTCTTTGGCCATCGACACAATCGTCACTCCACACCTGTACAAGTGTAAGCAGTGTGAACGTCCACAGAGTGACCCAAAAGAAGCAGCTGTGCTGGAGACAGTCCAGATGTGCACACGGTGAGGACAAGAGGACTCAGCAAATATGTTATTCGATTTTCTTTGGTTCAAAGAGGCGATGCTAAGCCGGACGATTGTGTTCTCAGAAGTTAAAACACAGAAAAATCATAGGAGGAGGCGTAAAAAGAACATCAGCCTCGCTTCCTGTCGTGACTTGAACTCGAGTCACTGACTAATCAGGAAATCATTTTTAAAACTTGCTCACCTTCATTTCTTTGTCTTTAGCCTGATAGCTCAGTCTGTAGTTACCAACGGGCTTTGATGGAGGTTTCCATGACAACGTGGCAGTGCGTGGAGTCACGTTGCTCGCCTGGAGGTCTTGCGGGCCTTCCCCAACTTTCCCCGAGCCTGGAGAGGAACACTGATGAGGTTCGTGTTTGTTCAGGTCACAAACCAAACTACAGACAAAGGTGGTGCTGACCGCCGGTGGTGGTGAAGCTGGTGGTGGCCGGCGAGCTCTCCCGGCTGCCCAGCTGGCTGGTTACAGTGACGGTGTAGGTGGTGGATCCCTCCAGGCCGCTGAGCTGCTGCTCGGCTGCGTTTCCGGACACTGTGACCTTCACCTCTGAACCTACACAAGCAAACTGCCTCATTCAAAACGATGATCAGACTGGGCGCTTTAGTCAGACACGTAGGAGTACAACGAGGAGCCGTGGGTGAATTTAAGACACGCAAGAGAAACTGACATGATGCAGACATGATGAGTTTGCATTAACAGTGAGATGAGTCAGCCTGCTCACCTGTGCCCGCGCCGTACACGATGGAATACTTATCAACGGCTGCCAGCGCTGGACGCCACAATAACAAGGCGGTGGAGTCGGTGACGTTTACGGCACGCAGGTGTGTCGGCGGGTCGGGCACTGAGAGACACATAAAGGTAATAATGGTTACGAAAAGAATCATGACCTCCCAAAACAACCTCCCATCATGACCACCCATCATGACCTCCCATTACGACCTCCCGCTCCACAATTATAACAGCAACATTTCAGCTATATCGGTTCAACTTGAAGTTCAGTGCAGTAAACATCACGGCCACGGTGAAGAAAGTAAAATGCCAGTTAACCAACTAACGATTAAAATAAATCTGTATTGTAATACTGAAGTTTTTACTCTACATTCATGATTTAAAAGCCTAAAAGTAAAAGTGAAATGAATACTTCTATAATTCTCCTGAAGTTTCTCTCTCAGTTTTCCACTCCAGAGGACACACGGCCCAGTCTGATAATCACCAAATACATACAACAACAACAACCACCTTTATTTATAGAGCACATTTAAAAACCAACGGCATGCCAAGGTGCTTAACATAAAACAAATTAACACAAGTATAATCAAAGTCATAAAAACAAAAAATAAAAGTGTAAAATTATGTTCACAGGAAAAAGCCACCAATAGAAAAAAGTATAACTATAGCACGATATAACTATGCCATCAAAACACAATGGCGATATGACATGCACAGCGCAAATAAAAGCATGATAGGAAAATTAATAGAATAAATCACTGCAAACAAGGCCAGCATTTCACCGGTAGAAAAAGCAAGATTAAACAAATACGCTTTAAGCCGTGATTTAAAAGATTGAATAGAGTCAGACGCCCGGATGCCAATCGAAAGGTTGTTCCACAACTCTGGTGCAGCCAGAGCAAACGCTCGATCACCTCTAGACTTCAGCCGAGATCTAGGCTGCACCAGCAGTAACTGTGAGGATGATCTTAAAGCCCTAGCAGGAACATATGAGCTTAGGAGTTCCTTAAGATAGTTTTCTTATCATTGAGGATGAGAGTATTTGCCAGGAGCCATTGCTTGACCTCACTGAAGTTTGTAGACTGATCACCAGTGAAATATGCAAAGATGAGAAAAAGCCTCCAGTTTCCCCGTGAGACTCTGTGTTTAGGATGGGAATCATCTGAACTGCCTTCTCTGCTCTTTGAAATAACACAGACGACTGGAATAAATCCAGCACGAGTCTCCTCAGACGAAGCATAAAAACCGTGCAGCTCATTTCCAGGTCAGCACCTGCTGCACACACTACCAAGCTACCAGTTCTCATATAGAAGCAAAAACATGTAAAAGTAATTGCTTTTCAGTGTAAAAAAAAGCACAAAAAATGGAAAACATGAAACTGTTTAAAGAAACCATGTGTGGATTCAATTATGAACTTTTACAACAGTGTGTCATCTCAGGCTGAGATAAACAGTGAACAACAGCGCGTGACTCACGCGTCATGACAAAGTCTTTCACTGGATCGCTCTCGTCCAGTCCGAGGGTGGAGATGACGGTGACCTCGTAAGAAGAACCAGGTGAGAGCTTGGATAAACCCACGGTGGAGTCCTTTGAGTCCAGAGACACCGACACCGGCTCGCCTGCATGCACAAACACAGGATTAGTTATTTATTCATGTAATCCTAATAGACGTTTGCATGTAATAAAAAGTCATAAATTATTCAATATTTTTTATTTTCCATAAAGTCTTGCACCAAATCATCAGTCGCCTCAAGGTGCTTTAAATTGTACGGCAAGGATCTAACAATCACACAGAGAAAACAATGTTATTGAACTGAACCAAACCTCTGATGGAACAGACGTCTTTACTCATCAGCTGTGACCTCGCTCCCTGATCTAGAAACTGGACATGACCTTTGCTTACGTCAGGGGTGGGCAATCTCAGGCCACGAGGGCCGGTGTCCTGCAGGTTTAGATCTCACCTTGGGTCAACACACCTGAATCACATGATTAGTTCATTACCAGGCCTCTGGAGAACTTCAGGACATGTTGAGGAGCTAATTTAGCCACTTAAATCAGCTGTGATGGATCAGGGACACATCTAAAACCTGCAGGGACACCGGCCCTCGAGGCCTGGAGTTGCCCACCCCTGGCTTACGTAAATATTCACTAGCCAATAAGAAATGAAGCACAATAGGAATCCAGGCTCTCACCATCCTCTGCATGGGTATATGTGACTTTGAAACCGCTGACGGGACTCTTTGGTTTGGTCCACGACACCGTCACAGAGTTTTCCGTCACCTTACTGAAGACTATGTTAGAGGGAGGCTCGGGTCCTAGAGGGCAGATCGAATATAACGAGAGAGGGGGGGTAAACGAAAGGCAGGAAGGGAAGTGGAGGGAAAAAAATCAATAAAAGACAAAAACAAGCAGCAGAAATACAAAAATTCCACAAAGAGAAAGAAAAAATAATAACTGGGTTTGTGAAAAACACTGAAGTAGAGTGAAAAGAGTCAGGAGTGAAAACAGTGTGCACAGTATTATTTATTCATCCACACATTTGCTATTAGTGCTCCAATGGGTTTCTGTGTATATATGTACAATGCAAACATATATACAGTATACAAATCATATACAGACATATAAAGTAACAATTAAATGCAGATGGCTCCTGGGCAAAGGAGGGAGTGACGACACAGTAGTTAGCTGCTCGGTCTCACCTGAAAATAAAAGGCATGGCAGGAATAAAGGACGTTAAAACAAAGGAAGATAAAGAGACCACTTGACAAGATTATTCAGAGTGAATGAACACAAACACATTAAGATATTAATCTAACTGTTTAGAGCTGGAAGTGAGAACCAGGAAACGATCGGGAGAAGTTAATTTTCCAAAACTCAGAAGGACTCGGTATCACTCAATAAATGATGTTTGTTTTATGTTTTGCACGACTTAAGCTGTATATTACAAAAGAGAATTAGACTATTCTTTGTAATAAAATCTATGCTGTACTGTATAATACTGACAGTATGCATCAGTACTGTAAAACGCTGATTTACCTTAAAATGTTCACATTTACAGATTTACTAATTGATTTACTTTTTCGTTTTTAAATGCGAAAAGTTAAAACAGACCAAAAGTAGAGAGACCAGCCGTGGTCTTACCCTGGTTTGGGAGAGAGGTGAAGAGGTGTCAGTGAAGATGGCTGTTAGCTTACCCTGAGTGAGAAAAAACCAGAGTAGCAGTGAATGAAGAGAGTTACGTTGTTACTGATGTCTTTGATGTCAACTTAGTTGATCAACTAGTTTGTATCAACAGTGCATCTGAGTGGAGTTCCCCTAGGCTCAATCCTGGGTCCTCTTCTGTTAATCATGCCCAACAGAGTTGGAATGCTGTTTGGTTTCTTGTACATAAAATCTTCCCTAATGTTTGTACAAAGAGAAAAAAACAAAGATTCGCCCTCTTTTTTTATTTTTTGTAAAGAATTGGTAAATTTTCTGCATGTGGCAGTCTAGTAAGTTCTGCAGGTTGTTTGTTAACCAAGTTAGGCCAGTACAAACTAAGAAGACTATCTGGCAAACAGCTTTGTAAACCCACATCTGAGGGTTGACATCAAATAACTGGATGGACAGGGTGTTGATCTTTATAATGTCATGAATATGAGTATTTGTCATATTCACGAGAGCTGAAGAATGACTGCACAAATATAATATGAACAGAAAACACAAGTTCATGAGAGTTTTTTCAAAATCAGTATGTGTTAATAAGAAAGTGAGTTATACTGAACCACTGTTTGAATGACAAACACAAAGTGATGAATGTGGAACTGTAAATCACAAGCTTACAGTCTTCAAGAGCGCCACAGCATCCGAGCTCTTGAAACCACGATGGAGGAAGCATTTAGTGGGTAAGCACACATTTCTAGTCACATTTAAGACGAGTGATTATTAGTTATTAGCACTTGAATGAACAGTCTTCTGAATGATCCAAGACTGACGCGGGTACAAGATCAAAAAGAAAGAATCGAGCCGTCTGAACGAGACTTGACAACACTGACAGTAATTTTGAAGCTTTGCACAGTAGAAATTCAGCTTTTCTACTGTTACAATAGCTTGTACCTGTACTGATGACAAGCTTGTGCAGTCTGGACAGAACGCCAGGGCCCTTTCCCAGTAAGGTCAAGGTGTACTCGGGCTGTGGGGGCAGATCCTCAAACCGGAAGGACCGAGCTGAACCAGGAAGGACTTTTTTGAAGGTTTTTTCATTTTCTGTTGGTTTTACTATTGTTTTGCTTTGGATTTTTGGGGCATGAGTTACAAGGCTTCCAGGCACTCTGTTCTCATCTTCACTACCTACATTTTGGGAAATGGTGTCCCTGTTAGGCGTGTGATTCGTCTTCTCTTCTTCCCTGCCTCCCTCTTTGCCAGAATCGTGGTAGCCGTGCTCTTTTTCTTTTGGCTCTGTGTCCTCCTCTTTTCCGTCTTTTCTCGTCACAACAAAGTTTTTGTACTTGCCTTCAGGTGAGTCCCATATCAATGTGAATCCATCAGTGGTCTGGTTTATGACTTCCACAAAGTCCAAAGGTTCCCTTAAGACTCCAGACGAAGAAAGATCTGACGTAGGATTTGTCTGCTTAGTTTTACTTTCAAATGTTTGTGGGTTCTCACTCTTTTGGCTACCCCCGGTGTAGTGTCTAATGTGGGTGGGATGCTGTGCTGGAACAGTTTTTGCTGCTGGTTGTCTTATTGGAAATGTGACTGAGCTGGAGGGTCTTGAATTTGGGAAATGTTGTTTTGTTGGTCTGCCTTGAATTCCAGTCCCATTGCTTTTGCCAGGATTTCCGTTGTCATTTATTTCTTGCAGCTTTGAATCAGTACTGCTAATATCTTCTTCTCTCCCCACAGCTCTGTCTCCAGTTCCTAGATTCTCAGTCTGTGATCGGACATTGGTTTGACCATCTATCTGGTCAGCTGCAGTATCTTGATCTCCTTCTCTAATTGGAATTTGATGCGTAGGGTGTTGGACATTCTGGCGAGTTAATATGCTTCCCAGTTGGCCAGTTTGATTTCCAGTGCTGCCTGCATTTACCTCTTTGTTTGGGAAATACTTGTGAGGAGGATAGTTATACGGACGTTGAGGTATTCTTTGGGTTCCGTTTTTTAAACGTCTTTCATATAGTTGGCGAGAGATATAGCCCAGTTTGGTATTTGGGCGATGGAAGGAAGACATTCCTCTTCCTCTGAGTGTCCGATTAAACTCAGTGGCTGAACTTGTGGAGGAGATTCTTGTCCCAAGTCCACCATCATCTGCATCTCTCACAGGCCCTTTGGGAAGAGAAGGGGCTGACGTAGCTGTTAACTCATTGGAAACCACCTGCTCTTTGCGTGGCTCTGTTTCACGGTTCAAAGGTCCAATACGACGAGTTTGATTCTGAAAAGGTCCCCCTTTTAGAAAACGGCAATTCTTGAATGGAGGACAGCGATTTGCTATCCTTTGTCTTTCTATCTGCACATTTTTTTGGTTTTGCTCGACTCCAGATAAGTCAGGTGTAGCTGTCCCATTTTTTAACCCAGTTGTATCCTTCACTGGTACACTTGCCTTAACAGAGGATGATTCCTCAGAAGCAGATATAGATGGTAAAGACAACAGTTCGCTCGTCGGCCGATGTTTGTTCTCTGCTGTCATTTCAGGACTAAGGTTCATACGATGGGAGGGGAGACGGAATCTAGAATTTATATGGGTTTTGTTCTGAAAAGGTCCAAACTTTGCGTATGGACGGCGTCTGATTCCATATTTAGGAGTGTTCATTCGAGGTACCCCACCTTCTGGTGGTGGTTTTCTATCTGTGGGTGGTGCAGGCGCAGAGATACTTCTGCTGCTTTCACTTAGCTCATTGCTTGAATGTGAATCAAATTTATCAGATCTGGAAGGGGATGATGATGTTGTTGGAAGGGACAATGATGTGGATGGAGGTGGTGACAGTAAAGATGAAGGTGATGATGGAATTAAAGACATTTGCGAGGACGATGAACCTGCCGTTGATCCATCGGAACCAGGTGAAGGTGGGGATGGTGAGGATAAAGGTGATGGTGGTGCAGCTGGAGAGTGTGATGTCCTTGAGGCTGATGAATGCGATGATGATTGTGACTCTGAGGATGTTGAAGAGGATGAGAGCGATGGCAGTGGCTTCAGTCCTCTCAAAATCTGTTTCCCAATTATGTCTGCATTGACTGAGAGGTTTGATGATTTTGACAGGTGAACAGAAAATGTTGAGATGTTCATACTATCAAAAGTGTCTTTCAAAAGTTTATGTAAAGGATCTGGTTTATAATCAAGGTCTGGCTCTGCAGAAGGCGGTGAACCCAGGTCTGGACTTTTCTCTACCATGCCAGCATGCTCAGCCCCCCTACACCCATTGCCTCTATCTTTTAAGGGGAGTCTCGAATGTGTCACTTTGATTTTATTTAGACATTTCTTCTCTTGGCTTTGAACGGTCCCACTTGGTTCTGGAGAAACGAGACCAGTGTCATTTCCATGGCCTGCAATGCCAACATGCGGTGGCCCTTTTAAGTCAGCAGCAGCCGCTGATTCCTCTGAGCTACTTTGGATCTTTGTTTCTGAATCTGTTCCAGGCAGCATAGCTTTATTTTTATCAACTCTGTCAGAGCTGGATGCCTCTATACTTGGGTCTGACACAGACTGTCTGATGATGGGGACACCTGGTTTAAGGTTTTTATTCTCCAAGACTCTTTTAAAAGGTCTCCTTCTGGGCACAACTCTTGTTGCATTGAAATGCGGTTGCTTCCTTGGCAATATGGACTTTCCGATGGGTTTGGGGCTGGTGCCATTTATTGAAAACATTTTATTGACCAGAGGTTTAGTTCTGGCAATTATTATAGGAGTTGAGGAGTCTTTGTCCTTGCTCACATCTTCTGTCTTCTCACGCTGGTCAAATATTTGTCCCTCGGCTGATGGGTTCAAGTCTTGGTGTATGCTGCTAACATCTTGGTTAGGTGCTAGGGAGGCCTGGGTAGTCAAAGTGGACTCTTTGGAAATATATGGAGGGGAAGCTGCCGTGGGAAATCTTGGTAATATCGTTCCTAAGGATGTAAAGGCAGTGAGTATTTGGATTAAGTGTTAAGATCATCATAATATGCCCTTAATACTGAAGAAGTCACACCTAACAAAGAAAGAAAAGCAGGGTTGTTAATCATTATTGTTCCTTTAAGGAAACCTGATTTACAACAGTTTGCCAGCCCGAGCAAACCATAACTCAGGTCAGCAGCATCCATGTTCAACCTGCAAGGAGAATATCATAATGTCATTATTGTTTTCCTCGGACAAACCTGTTCGTATCACTGTTGAGAAAGAAATACAACGACTGAGGTTAGAGGCAGATAAAAGTACGTTTTCTTCTTGAGGGTCGGGGGAGGACATCGACTAACGTGTTGTATATGACGTAATTCATTGAATGATGAGGTGTCGGGACACAAAGGCTCACTTAGCCGAACAAAAGCTGTTATGGCCCGAGCATAGCCTGGAAAAGAAATCTTTGAACAACAACGACCTGGATTCCTTCCTTTTATTTCTCTCTCTTATCAAATTTCTAACTTTTTACTCAGCAGTGAGTCATTTCAGACTAACTTTGGGGTGATAACTAACCAGAGGCTCTTATTAAAGCCAGACGTAACAAGTCCTGCTGTGAAGCCTCAAGGTGAGGATTTTATCTTGGGTTTTTGTGAACATACAGCACAACAGAAACCGTGAACACTCGTATGGATGCACAGAGTCATACGTGGTCATGCATGTTCTGCTTTAGCTTGTTTTTTGACTGTAAAGTTGCAAACATCATACTGCACTTTATTAAATTAATCAATCAGGCCAAAGCATCATTTTCTGAGACTTTAACCGGACTTATTTTTCTTAAACTATAGGAGAATCCTCCGTCTGTCCTTTAGAAAGCTGTGAGGTAGCTCTGCATTTACTGTTCAGACCAGAAACGTTATATACACTTCATAGTTCTAACTAACATTGTTGACCACAAATTTCATATAAAATGCTTAACAAGCAGTAACCTTCAGTTCCTCTAACATCCATGTGAACTGGACCTCTCGACTGCTGTTGGAGACTCGTGGAGCATTTGTCATGCAATTATCTGATAAATATGTTTGGCTTACTGTCAAACTGTACTAAACACTGGAATTGCTATTAAATGTAGTAGTCGACCAGCCAAGAATTTAATTCCTTTTACGTTATTTTTTAGCTCCTTAGCACTAATTAGCAAGTATCTGACAGTTTATGGATGCAGCTTACAAACAAAGCTAGTGAGCATTAGCTAAATATGATTTAAATGAGGTCACTTCTGACATATAAAGTTGAGGCTATCTCCATTATCTACATACAGTCAATGGCGTGAGCTAAGAAAAATGATTTCCAGGACGTTAACCTGAGTGGAAGCAAGCTGTGATTGGCTCTACTCACCGGGGACTACCTGGGTGGTCTCTGGAGCGCTCCTGCTCGTGTCTTTCTCTGCCACGAGCAGGATGTCATACAAACGCCCGGCCTCCAGCCGCTGGATCTGTGCGGAGTTCTGGTCAGCTGGGATGGTCATTTCTTGACTCCTCCCCGCTCCATCATTTGGCGTTACGGTGAGACGGTACCTGTCAATCTCCCCCACTGTCGGCTCCCATTGGACTACCGCAGACGTGGACGACATCTTGACAACTCTGAGGTTGGTGGGACCAGAAATGACTGAAGGTGAAGAAAACAGAAGAAAGTCCAGCACACGCCAGGTGAATGTTTTCTTCCAGGTAACATGAAGCCGTCTACCTGTTCCTGTTTACCCCCCTGACTTGGATCGATACACTTCCACTCGGTTTTTGCCTTTTCTAAACTCCTGCAGACTGAATCGTCCTCTTCATCGCCAGCCACCGGGCAGCTTCTCTGCAGCTGCCACAGATTACATCTCCCACAGGAAGGGCAGCGAGAGTGAAATGTTTAAGCTCCCGCTGCCAGTTTGGTGATTTGAGCTGCTCTCAAGTGCCAGCATGCTAGTCAGAGGCTCCTTTCTCTAACTTCAGGCTCTTTCATAAAGCAGGACCAGCGCACAGTTACTTTCTGGTTCAGGTATCAGAGTTGAAGAACATGCCTTTTGTCAGGACATCTGCACACAGTGTGTATTTGGGGAATACTTGGTGTTCTCAGAATGGTTACAACACAAAACTTGACGTGATAAAACGTAGCTACACCCATCACACCTCCGAAACACCATCACGGTATAACTCCTGTAAACCAGCCAAAGAACTAACACTATTAAGGAGGATAATTCAGTGCAGAGTGACTAAGAAGTACACAAGTTATTCAAAGTCAGTGTAGTCTGTATGACTTTCCTCATTTTTAATGGTTATCTAAGTGTTAAAATCATTTCCATCTGTGGAGGGTGGAAGCGATTGTGGCTTCAATTTAGTAAGAAGAGAAAAGCAGAGGAGTTTCTGACAAAGAAGGAAACAAAACCTCACGTGTCATGAATTCAGCGGTGCTCTCGCCTCCTCTCCTGCCGTCGATCTCTCCCACGATGCCGACTCTGTAATCCTGACCGGCCGCCAGGCCCGTCTGGGTGTAGGTGGTCAGGCCGCCTTCCACCTGCGCAGTTATCTGCTGGTCGCTCTCCTTCTGTCGGGTCAGGACAGACAGAGAACAGTCAGAACTTCCACAGACACGCTGTCAGATGCTTCAGGTGTTCATTTGTCATCCCCGTGTTCCTGCAGACACAAAGCTTTGCATCATAAGATGGATTCTGGGCATCTCCAGCCTTTGAAATCGTTGTTGTATTTGATCAAGTTAGTGTCGTATCACTCGTCAGAGGTCTGCTGCACATGGAAGGCAGGGAGGTACCCGAAAAGACCCAAACAATGCAAGTGGAAATAATCTTCTTTTGAAAATAGTGGCCTGACTGAAGCAAGGTCAGCATGACAACAGAGGCACAAACGAACCACGATGCTGTGTTTCAGTTATTGCTGTAGGTGGACGCCGTACGGCATCTGGCCCACGTAACATTTGGCTGTAACTGAACCCAACGTGGCTTAAGCTATTGGAGTGATGATGACGGTGAGAGAGAGCCTGAGTGGAAACACCACTCTGTCTGTGGGGCTTCCACAATCAAACTTTACTGAAGCAAATGAGAAACAATCAGGAAGCAAATCAGTGACATCGCCGCACGTCTGGAAACGGCTGTTTGTGGTTTGTGCAGCATGTCAGGCTCATTCAGGGGAAACTAACCCTGAGGTTAACCCCTAACCTAAACTAGTGGGAGGACACAACGTAAAGTCTCCGATGTACGAAAAACACAGAAGGAAACACTTCACTTTGATCAGCGGCGTCCGTCACCTGGGGACATATCTGCCCCTCCCACTCGTGTGCAACCTTATCATAGTAGGAAAATGAGGTTTATGATTTGGAGTTACAGGAAATGAAGGAATTCGAAGAGATTCATGAATATTTCCTCTCTGAGGGTCGTTTCTCATCCAACCGTCTCTGATTTGATGTGTGCGAGTGCACAGGAGCTGCTTCTCTTCAGGTTTGTTGTTGTTTGTTGTTGTTTGTATTGTTTTCATGTGTTTGTAACTCTGTCCTGAATGTTGTTGATAAACCCTGTGACAGACCTGCCCCGCCTCTCGCCCTGTGCTGGGCAGCGACTGAATGAACCTGCAGAGTCAGCGTGAGGCCTGGACTTCATTCATGAAAGTCAGACCATAGATCACAACATTAACATCATGTTGTCGTAAATACGAGTTGTAACTGGGGGCAGATAAAGTTCCTGCTTCTGCTTCACCTTCTTGGCTGAAGCTCGTCTAACAAAGACGCCTCAGTCTCAGCGGCTGCAGGATTTCAGACGACCCTTTGAAAACCTTTAGGTGACGTCAGCGCAGTGATAAGAAATGCATCAGTCCACAGCTCAGAGGGAAAATACCCCAAATTACGACGTCATTCCCATAATTTCCGTCTTTCATCTTTTCTAATTCAGGCTCTTAAGAGAGAATCGAGTCTCTTTGTGTGTCGGAGCCTCAAACTGCCCTCCAATTAAAGGCTGCTGCACTTTTAATGCCTGGATACTGTGTTGTAAAGTAAATGGACCACAGCTGGTTGCCATGCTGGTCTCTATGGTGACTTCCTGGCGACGGAGCTCCAGAGGTCATTCTGGATCTGCGTCCTCGATCCAAACACGACATCATTAACATGGAGGCTCCAACAAGTTCACAGTACGCCTAAAACCAGGCCGAGGCTGCGTGGCGTCGCCACGGTGACTAAACCAGCCGCACAGCGACTCTGCCTCTTTACGATTTCATGGTTTTCTCCGATATAAAAATACATCTTTGCGCCGTCCTCTTCTCCGCCTGGGTGTGTCGACGAAGCCTGGACTTTGTTCCCGTTTAAGTCCCAGAATAAGAAAAACCTCAGCATCGTCAGGAAGCAGAACAGCAGGTCAAAGCGAGCTCGTGTTAAACCCTGTGCGGCTTTTTTAAACTAACCGTCAGAAATATTTTCCTCATATATTAAAACGTTCTTCCAGGCAGGAAGTTCAGCCTGGTGGATCAGCTGATTTGAGTGTGAACAGCTTGTTTATGTTTTCTACTCTAAAAACAATCCTTGTTTCTATTTTTCTAACATGTTTGATAAAGTAAAACTGCTCTCATGAAGTCACACATGTCTGCACTGACACACACACACACACACACACACACACACACACACACACACACACAC